AAAAATTAATGCGGATTTTTTTTTTTAACTTTAACGAAGGTGAAGTTAATGTTTTCATCAAAAAATCCGATTTGCTAATTTTATGTTTTCTCGACGTTTCAAGCCATTCTGAATCGAATGAGACCAAATTTGGAAAAAGTATGTGAGGGCGCGCGCGCGTTTGTTTGTATGTGTGTGCGTATGTGAATTTTTCGTCCACGTTTTAGCCCGCAATTATGAATCGATTTTGAAAATTCAAAAACTGTTCGAAAGATATTGGGTGAGAATTACGCTGATTAGTTTTTGGTAAAGATCGGCGGGGCCGTTTTCTTGTAATAAAGTGTTAAATTATTTTTTTGGCGATTTTTATGATTTTTTTTTTGACGGTATATACCATAGTCTTTTAGATCATACTAAAATATTACGGCTCTACGACAAATCGTTAAATTTTAAAAATTCTTCAAAGTTTGCAAAAATTGGTATCGCTTTGGTGGCATTTGTCAAAATTAGACTTTTTATCGACGTTTTCTCAAAAACGCCCGAACCGATTTCAGAAATTCAACAGCCATTTGATGTATCTCAATGAGGACTATCGTTTGTCAATTTTGTGCGGCGATCTAGCTTGAAAAAAAGTGTTCAATTTTTCGTCCACATTTGAGCTCATACTACGATCGATTTTAAAAAATCAAAAACTGTTCGCAAAATACTAGTTAGGAATGATACTGATTAGTTTTAGATCAAAATCTACCGAGCCGTTTTATTGTAATTAACTGTTGAAAAAAAATTAAGCCGATTTTCATGGAACTTAATTTTGGCGATATATACCATGGTCTTATAGAACTTACTGAACATACTAAACCATTAAAGTCCTACGGAAATTGGTTCAATTATAAAAGTTTAGGATTCTTGAAAATTTGTTTTTAGAAAATACTTCTTCGTTCGTTTTGAAATATGTGTAATAAATACATTCGGAATACTTTAAATCACTCATAAATTAACTAATTTTTTTTTGATTTAAGTCGATTATTTACACGTATCGGGAAGATCATGTAACTTGCCTTAAGGCAGCGGTTTACAACCTTTTCTTCCTTGCGCCCCCCTTTCAAATGATAAAAATATTACGCCCTCCTCCCATTCTTATTTTTCCAGCAATTTAATTTAAATATACTTAATATAACTGAAATCATGCCAAATAATACACAGTATTATAAAAAATATACATACAAACTTAACTATTTATTATAAGAATTTTCTGTTTCACATAAGTAAGATCTCACAAATGGTAATAAAATTTCTAAAGCATTATTTGTCAAAGTAGGAAAATCATCCTTTACTCACAACCAAAACTTAACAATATTCTTTTCGTCCTAAAACATCTGCTTCAATTATCATTTACTGTTCTGCTGTTGAGTGACCAAAATCATCATGTTTCTCAATGACAAATGGATTTCTAATCCATTCGTATTTGGACGTAATTAGATAAAGTAATGCGAAAATTAGTTTCGTAGACTAGTCATATGACTGATATAATAATAAGATCTTTACTTCTATTTCATCAGTAACACAAGTAATTTTAAAAGTGGGAAAGATGTTAAAGTTATAAAGTTTTAATTTTTTTTATTAAAGCCGTAATCTTGTCTTTCTGAACAAAAGCACGAATTTGAGATCCTTGCATTGATTTAATTAAATCGCTTTGTCTTAAGTCTTTGAAAAATATCAACTAAATACGCAAATTTTGCGAGAAACTTTGTGTCCTAAAACAAGATTGCTCCGTCTCTTTTGTTATCAGTAAGAAATATAGCAATTTCTTTTTTAAGTTCAAACACTCTTAGAAGTACTTTAAGTATTTTGCTGATTTGTTTTTGACACTTACTCAGCATTTAAAAATAATATTTTTGAAACAGCTTCGCGCCCCCCCTGAAACGGTATGGCGCCCCCCCAGGGGGGTGCGCCCCACAGGTTGGAAATCACTGCCTTAAGGCGAAATACCAATACCAACTAGTTTTTATTTGAAATTCTTAATAAAACTTTTACAATATAAATAATATTAATTAATTATTATGATAATTGCATAATTAATTTTCAGTTACCAAATCAACCAAGTACATCATCTGTTTCAAATCCTACATCTGCAAATCAATCAGAACTTGATCTTGCAATGTACATGCTCCATCAAAGAGATATGCGCTGTGAGGAATTGACTATGGAAGTTATGTCACTATTACAAGAAAGGGATACTCTTCAATTGAGGCTCTCGAACGCTTTACGACTGAACGAATCGATTAGAGATGATGTACTGACTGAAAATATTAGCCCTTCAAACAAAGAAACATCCACCACTGATGGTCCAACTGCCTCTAACGAAGCAGATCAGAAAGTCAAAAAAGGAGCCACAGTGAAGAAAACTAAAGATTTTGAAATGTTGAAAAATAAGTAAGTTATAAAAATTAGATTATCTGAAATGAAAATTAAAATAAATAAGATGATTACCACTATGGTTTTAGATAATTTTTTTGAATTTATAGTAGGAACTAAATTTAATTTATTGAGCTATAGAAAGATTGTCTAGATTGATAAATATATAAAATCTTTAGACCAAAATTGCCTAACGTTTTATATAATAAATTATCTGCATATCAACTTAATTCTTATTACAACCGAAATAAACCTTGATTTGGTTTTGAAATACATATCATATGTTTCTAGATTATCCGAATTGCATGCCTTAGATCATTCTCGAGATTTAAGGATATTTGATGACAGGAAATTTAGACAGGAACAACAAATGGCCTTAGTTGAGAGGGATTTTGATAAACTTCCACAAGAAGCCAAACAACAATTGATAGATGCTGATTACACCTTATGTAAGAAAAATTATTTGCTTTATTAAAATTTATTGGAAATAAAATATAAATAACATTCTGTTTTACAGCTCGTGATTATCAAGGCCCATCAACCTCGCTATTGAACTGGTTGTGGGGAAAAGGTACAAAAAAAGTTGATCATTTATAGCAGAAAAGATATATATTAGTGTGTAAGTCCAGAGTAATTTTAAATACTTAAAGTTATTTTCCATTGTACAAATAAACTGTTTATATAATGAATAGATATTTTATATAAATATTATTAGGCAGACTATTTCTTTAAATATCCAAATATAATATAATATTTGAAGTTATTGTGTTTTATTCATTATATAAAATTTAATTTAGATATTTATATTTTGAGAAATGATTTAAAATGTAACAGCATTTGAATTACTTTTTTAATTATTAAAACTATTGATAGAAATTTAGAATCAGTTCTAGTAACATATTTAATATTTTTATATTATGTAATATAACTTCTGAAACTATTATATTTATTATATGTTATATGTTTATATATTCACGAACAAACAACAGAAAGTACTAAAATTTGCAAAAATAATTAAAATTAAAACATGTACTATAATAGAGAAATAAATTAAGATATTCACGATCAACAAAACTTTCACACGGAATACTCCAAGATGATTAATAAAGGACTTGTAAGCCCTCTGATAAGTGCAAGCAGAGTTCACAACAAATTACCAGATGAATTCAATGAAATCAATGACGGGCTTATATAAATTCAAAACTAAAGTGAAAAATTATCAGGGGAAAACAATATTAGGTGCTTCTTTATGCTAAATACGAACAATATTAGGTGCTTCTTTATACTAATCCGCCTTATACCACGTGTATTTTGTGATTTATTGTCAAACCGCACTTAAGTTCCATAAAAATCGGCTTTTTTCAACAGTTAATTACAAGAAAACGGCTCGGTAGATTTTCACCTAAAACTAATCAGTAGTTTTTTATTTTTTAACATCGATTCGGTAGTATGAGCCTAAATGTGGATGAAAATTTAACACTTTTTTCAAATTACAAAGAAACGGCTCGGCCGATCTCCGCACAAAACTGAGAAACGATAATCCTCATCGAGATACATCAAATGGCTTTTAAATTTCTGAAATCGGTTCAGTCGATTTTGAGCAAACGCCGATGAATGGTCTTATTTTGACAAATGCCAAGAAAAAGATACTATAATTTTTGCAAACTTTGCCGAATTTTTAGAGTTAAACGATCGTAGGTCCGTAATATTTTAGTATGATCTATAAGACCATGGTATCAACCGTAGAAAAAAAAATCGTCGAATTTTTTTTAACACTTTATTTTACAAGAAAACGTCCTGACCGATCTCTACCAAAAACTAATAGCACTGTTTTTGGATTTTCAAAATCGATTCAGAATTGCGGGCTAAAACGTGGACGGAAAAAAATTATAAGGAAACGGCTTGGCCGATCGTCGCACAAAACTGACAAACAATAGTCCTCATCATCATACTCTTCTTTAATCTATGGTCCTCATCGAGATACATCAGCCGTTTTTGAGAAAACGTCTGATTTTACAACGAATTAACACATACACACGCACACATACTTTTGGTCATAAATTTGTTCTCATTGGATTCAGAATGGCTTGAAATGTCGAGAAAACATAAAATTAGCGAATCGGATTTTTTGATGAAAACAAATTTCTCCTTCAGGAAGTTAATAATAATTGAAAAATATAGAAAACCGAAGAAGGCAAAAATAATACAGTTAAATAAAAATATTTTTTGGCAATAAATGTATAATAATAATAGTTGATACTCTTTTACATGTATACATATATAAATATTACTCTCATAGATAAGTAAACATGTATACTCTTCTTTTATCTATGATACGACGGTTACAAATACGGATCAAATTAAATTTGAATTTTGAGCTTGTTTGACATATGGCAACACTACTTCGTGAACGTTACAGCTTTGGCAATACCACCGCCATCTTTATGTTGTTGACCTTTTCGCGTTTTGTTAAATGCTGCTTGTATAATTTTTAAGTGAAGGGCTTGGCTTCTTCAAACTTAAGCTGTACTATAATCTAACATGAGTGTACTGTTTTAGATGATATTTTGTAAATAGTTACAAAAACTAAAAGTGTGAAATGAACATCATAACAGTGTATTATGTTTTGTTGATGGCCTAGTAAAGCAGCTGCTTATAGTTTTTGTCTAACGTACATTGTTATGGATGCATCAGTGATATTTATTGGAAATATTAAAGTTTACATTTGAATATTAATATTTTTGTTGATTGTTGATACTGAGCATCACGTTGGAGATTATTTTTACGTAATATTGTGTATAATTTAGTGACTTATGGCATTGTGCATCTCATGTACATTTAGTGCTGTGATACATTTTGAGACAAGTATTTGATAGGAAATATAAAATATATTATATTGTTATCATAGTTAACATCACAAATTGATTAAAATGAGTGCCAGTGTTTATAATCAGATGCTTATGTCCGATTTGAGTATTCTACGTACTGCAACAGCAACTGAGGTACGTAAGTCACCCTCACCCCGAGCTTTGGCTAAGGCTCGACGAAACCTATTTGGTCCTGTAGATCATGAATTCAATCGAAGATTTGTAGCTGAAGAACTTGCTAAACAACAAGCATTAGCTGCAGAGAAATGGAGTTTTGATTTTGTCTCTGAAAAGCCCTTGCTGGGTCGTTATAAATGGGAAAGATTCGGTGCCAAAACACCTAAAAAGCAAGACACCATACTATCCACTAGAAATTTACAAGAAGTACCCACAGTGACAACCAGTACTCCAGTACAAGTTGAGACGGAAGAACAACCAACACTAAGACCAGAACGGGTTCAAACTGGTGAGATAACTCCCCCATCACAAATTCAGAAGACGGATGAAGTTAATTCTTTATCAAAATCATCAACTCGTCAGCCAAAAATAACAAACTACATGAAACATTGCAAACGTTCGTTCTCCGGAAAAAAAGTAGATGAATCCATGGTAAAGAAAAGGCGATTAACACCATCTGCTACTAGTAGTTAAAATATTTACATAGTCTGTCTGGGATTCTTTTCCACTTTTATTAGGCTGTAAGCCAACATACATTTTTTGAACCAGAATGAAAAGTTTTCAGTATCAATTTGCTATATAAAACAATATTCATGGGCGGTATGATATTTATGTATATTTGTACATATGGATTGTAGAAATATTTAAAAACATTTTATACTTCTGTATTTAATGGGAATTTGACAATAATCAATAATGATTTTGTCAATGCATAAAATTGATAAGTTACAAGCACATTTTTTCTTACATTTACACAGAGATTTCAAAAACTAAATAATTGTGCCTTATAAGAATTGTCATCTAAATATTTTTCATCGTTCAACATCAAAATGCTTACATTTTTATAGGCTTAATTTTCACTCACGAACAAAATATCACATAGGAAATATGCTTAATACAGAATCTTTGATAGACGTGTAAAAATTCTCATTACATTTTCTAATATATACTTTATACAAATTAATGCAATCTAATTATCAGCTTGTGAATTTTTTTTTGATATTGCTATACAAATATTACTGATCTCAAAATCATATTATTTATTATAAGAAACATAAATAAATTTATGTAGAGATACAGCAACGGAGATTGAGATGTGTTAAAATTCAGGAATTATGATTTATTTTGGAAAATATATTATTATTTTCATTAATGACTCATTCAAACTCTGTTGCATATGTATATAATATATATTAATCATTATATCAAATATAAATAATTCATGGAATTAAAATCAAAAGGTAGATAAGTCGAATTAAATGGGAGAATGCAATTTTATAATATTTCAAATTTAATAATTCAAAGCACAAAAATATATTTGGTAAAATGATTCTATTATATTTTTTTGATAATAATATATTTAGTAGTAATTAGATATTTAATTATGAATTTTTGATGATTATATCAAATTTATATAAAGTTGTGATATATGATTTACTAATACATAATTTTCTATTATTATAAGAGATGTTGGTGTATAAATTTTTTTTTGTAATATTTTTTTATGCTCATTTTTGTTTGTTTGCTGCCGCTAGTTTAAATTGTATATTGTTTTTTTTTTTGTTCAAATTTTTACAATTTGAAGTCCTACTTTCAATTTTTTTTCAAATCTATTGTTCGATATGTAAATACTTTTAATTTAGATGCATGGCCCTGGCACAAATTTTTACAATAATGGAAAGATATTACAAAAGACAATTTTGATACAATTTATATAACACATATATTAGGATAAGAATATTATTATTTTTATACATGGTACAGTTTTAATTATTTCAGGGATATATATATATATATATATATATATATATAAATAAATAAATAACATTGCACTATGTATAAATTATTTACAAATCAAAATGCATACAATATTTTGAATATAGTTATTGAAAATATTGTATTCATGAAGTTTTGTTTACCTAAATTTTATTTTAAAATATTCCAATTATTATCGACAAGCATGTATTCAAAAACGTACTCTATTCTGTAAATATAATTGAAGAAATGTTCTAAATTTTGAAAATGATTTCAAATCATGTACTACAAGTTTAAAAAAAATTCATGTATTTGGTTTAATTGATTATGATATATTTGCATATTATATAATATAAATAAATATATATATTGTATTGAATAAGTGCTCAGCAATAAAATTTATAGATTATTATATTGTACGTAATATTTATTTATAATAAAACTAATTCTACGAAAAACATTTTTAAATTGTTTTCAGATTCTATGTTTCTGATAGAAATCAATATGGTAATTGCTTTAAAATGATATCTAAAAATTTTTGCTTCTAATTCCAGAATTGTTTAATAATCGTTTTTAAATTAAGAGATAGATAAACATTGACGATAAATCGCAGCAAAAGAATGTGTTCTACATAAATATTTTGATTTCGTTGGCATCATTAAGCAGCGTCAAAGCACATCGAGTGTGGTGGTGAACGGTCGCTAACGTAGCAGTGATGGCAAGGGACAGGTCGCGAGAAAAAGTAATATTTCTTATGGTAAAGGTAAAGGTAATAATATTTTATAACAATGTGTTGTGGTGATATTTTACTATATAGACATTAGACGTATATTTGCACTATTTCAAGCTAAAAGTTCCAGGTCATTTTTAATGTTTTGTAGTATATTCATTTACAGATTAAATTTTACGTACGTTTCTCGCCGTAATAATAGTACATTTATATTGACAATATTCTTTGCAATGCAAATTGCGACTGCCCATGTCTAGTATTTCATATTATAAGAACTAATAACAATGAGTTAAATTGCAGAAATAAAATCTGCTCATATCACTTAATTAAAAAAATTCAATGAACTATGGTTTTGTACGTTTTGTATTGTACAAAGAGTATTAAATAGCATGATTCATTCGAAGTATTTGAAAAAATCTAATTGAATTATCGATTCTAGTGTATCACTTAATTAACTAGTTGGTATTGGTATTTTGCCTTGAGGCAAGGTACTTTAACTTCTCAATATGTGTAAATAATCGACTTAATCAAAGTCAAAAGTATTCCGAGTGGATTTATTACACATAATTGAAAACGAACGAACATTTTCTAAAACCAAATGTTTAAAAATCAACAATTTTTATAATTGAACCAGTTTCCGTAAAACTCTAATGGTTCAGTATTTTCATTAAGACCAAGTACTCTATCGTTATACCAAGTAAATCGTCTAATTTTAATTTTAACAAACGTCAAAAAAACTACTCATTTTCTCAAACTTTGATGAATTTTTAAAATTAAACTTCTTGACGTAAGGCCGTAATATATCAGTAAGTTCTATGAGTCCATGATATATATCACCAAAAAAAGTTCCATAAAAATCGGTTTAAATTTTGTTTTCAACAGCTAATTACAAGAAAACGGCTCGGTAGATTTTCACCTAAAACTAATCAGTATCATTCCCAATTAATATCTTTCGAACAGCTTTTGATTTTTTAAAATCGATTCGGTAATTTGAACTTAAATGTGGACGAAAAGTTTAACACTTTTTTTCAAATTACAAAGAAATGGTTTGGCAGATCGTCTCACAAAACTGACAAATTATAGTCCTCATTAAGATACATCAAATGGTTTTTCAAATTTGTGAAGTCGGTTCAGGCGTTTTTGAGAAAACGTCGATCAAAAGTTCAATTTTGTCAAATGATAAAAAAACGATACTAATTTTTGCAAACTTTGACGAATTTTCAAAATTAAACGACTTGTCGTAGGGCCGTAATATTTCAGTATGATCTACAAAACTATGGTAAATTGTCAAAAATAAATCATAAAAATCCTCGAAAAATTTTAACGCTATTACAAGAATCGGCCCGGCCGATCTTTACCAAAAACTGATCAGGTCGAATCCTAACCTATATCTTTCGAATGCTTTTTGAATCTTTAAAATCGATTCAGAATTGCGGGCTTAAACGTGGACGAATTTTTTTTTACTTTTTGCGATTTACAAAGAAACGGCTCAGCCGATCGTAGCGCAAAACGATGGTTCTTATGAAGATACATCGAATAATTTTTAAATTTTTGAAATCGGTCTAGACGTTTTTGAGAAAACGTCGATTTACGGTAAATAATCTGTTCACACACACACACACACTCTTTCCAAATTTGCTCTCATTCGATTCAGAATGGCTTAAAACGACGAGAAAACAAAAATAAGCGAATTGGATTTTTTTATGAAAACATAAACTTCTCGGGAAGTTAAAAATGGAGCTACTTCTATTACTTGTATTTTTGTATATACGTATTCAATAGACTATCCTTTGGTATTCAACAAAAGGTATTAAATAGCAAGATTCATTCAAAGTATATGTAAAAAATCTAATTTAATTTGCAGTACACTCCCCGTCACGAACAACCCTAATATCGAGCAGTAGCGATATCAATTTTTACTTGTTAGATCTTAAATATGTTTCCAAGTAAAAATAGCCCTTTCCAGGCATTGCTGCACCAAACTGAATAATCATAATCAGTCTTTCATTAGATAAATTCAAATAATAAATTAATCAAATATAGTTGGATCAACCGTTGGGTTAACATCTAAAAAAATAGATGTTAATAATATATAGATCTAAAAAATAGGACGTAAGGAAAAGTTTTAGCTTAACAGCTTTTAGGACGTCAAGTTCTGACTGCTGTTAAAATATAATAAAATTATAAGGTTTATTTCTAGAATATGTTTTCTTCGTATTTCGTTTTCAGTGTCGATAAAAAGACATTATTTTTTCTTATGAAAATACCATCGAAACAATAATTACATCGCTTAAAACATGCCAAAGAGATATATCATTTGTATAAATAATCCAATACTCTTTAAATAATTCACTATAGAACCGATTGTGACTTTAAAATTTTTGATTTCAATAAAATAATATTTTTTACAAATCGTTCAAATGCATTTTGCTTGAAGAAACCACGTGGTTTATGTTGAATGCTTATGACAATTATGAATACTATACTAGAATTTTTTATTATTGATTTACCTTGTGTTATGAATTTTATCTTGTATTATAAATTTTAGCAAAGAAGCTTTTTTTTATTGTTAATGTGAATTATATTTCACATTCATATATTTTTTAACTTTTTTGCATTTCTTTACGTTTCACTTATATTGATAGAATAAAAAAATTATTATATTTTTGGACAGGCAGTTACAGCGATTTCAGAGATCAAATGAAAAATTAACTAGTAGTGTATGGCATCGTGCCTTAAGGCAAATTGCTGGATCTTCACGTACCGTAACAAAATGTTCGAGAAATATTAAATGTTTTCAAATAGATTATTATAAATATTGTAACATTGTTTAATATTTATAAGAATTATATAAACTGAATTGCTTGTATATTAAAACAGAATTAAAATTAAAATATGAACTATTTTCGATATACAAAAAAAAAATTTCTTAAAAAAAATTTTTTTTCTGAAAAAAAAATCAGAAACAAATTTTTTTCCAAAAGCAATTATTTTGTTGAAACAAGCAGAAAGTACTTTGAATCATTTAAATCGGACGCTTAGTTATCTCAAAAACTGCCATTTTTTGCACATTTAGCTCTGTTTCTTCGAACTGGCTGGACTTGCCTTTGCCAAAAACTAATCACCTCTTCTCCCAATTATTGCAAATTGAATGTTTTTTAGATCATTCAAATTGGATACTCCATTCTCTCAAAAACTCGATTTGTATTTTTTGCATTCTTTGCTCCATATCTCCGTAACGGCTGGACCTGCCTTTGCCAACATTTAATCAGAACATCTCCCTATCAA